TGGTTAACTTGTATTACTAAATGCTAACTAAATGCCGGGCTAAATCCGAAGTATTCCGACCCGGAATTTTGGGGATCTCCCTGTATGAGTTAAACATGATTACATCGTAACACGTAAAAAAAAATAACAAGACAGATGGCAATTCATGATCCTAAGAGTTTGCCGGATAATTGTTTAATTTTGGCATGAATACTCAAATAACTTTAAATTACATTTACTATACTATATATATGTGTTACAATTTGATTGGACATTAGTCACGTGATGTAGCCGGACAAACAAACCTGTCCTTCGCTACGCTCCGGACAAATTATTTAATATGACACATAAATAATAAACTGTTTTGACGTATCCAATCGAATTTCATTCTGACGTAACTCGAATCTGATCTGTCTGACAGTGTTGAATTTTCACAAATATCCATCTAACCTAAACACTAGCTGCAACAACTTAAATATTATAGATTGTATTAAAATTGTAATAATAAAATTTGGGATTTTAAAACCCATTTTAGATAAATATTCTTAAATGTTTAGTTTATTCAAATTTGATTTAAAGAGAGTTAACTGTATACAGTATAATTTATTTTATTTTCATATAAACTGATATAAACTGATTTTTGCGGTTTGGATTAAAAAAAAAAAAAAAACTTTAAGATTTGTATTTACAAATAAAGACCAAATTTTAACACTAGCAAATTTTGGTATCCATACACATAGCAGGTCATGCGACTTTTTTTTTTTCCTAAATATTCACAAAAACAATAAACAATAAATTGTAACTTGTAACAAAGCTAGAAATACAGTTGTGTGGAATATAGTATATAAGCACCATTGATGAGATTAATAAGATTGATTATTAATCAATTGATAAAAGTAGGTGCCCCTTATATTATATTTGATCCCAGTTGTGCAAAATAATAATAATAATAAGCATTAAAAAAACATTAAATTATTAATATTTGAACCAACAGAGATTTGCTATCGGTAAAGCAGAAAGTTTGGTAAAACATCGAGTAGACAAGGAAAATAGTTTTACTTAATCAAGAAACATGTGATCACATCACATTGTGACGTTACCCCGTTAGGGCATTTACAATAGTTGAATAGCAAATTTCGGGAGGAATCGGGTATAATCCACATCAAAGACATGATCAAAAGACATGATCAAAAGACATGATCAAATACATGATCAAATGCAGATTGTCAAAGAAAAAAATTTTTTTTCAAAAAATCAATATAAGGAACTTATATAAATAGAACCCATTATCCAAATTGAAATTGTTAGAAAGTAAATATAAGAACAATGAACATAGATATAAAACGACTTTATTCTTCAAATTTCATTATGTATGAAACAACAACGAAGCTAAAATAACAAAGAAATGTTAACCCTGAGATGTAACTATACTTCACATGGTACAGTACCACAAAGTTGATTGTGTTTTTTTTTTTACTGTTACCGTTACTGTTACCCGTTACCGTTAATCAAGTGGTGCCATCTAAACATGAATTCCTCGATATGTAGCAATGGTTTGTGAACATATAAGGTGATACAAAGATACATAGTTGATGCATCATTAGTTACATTTTTTATTGTCATTTAACTTAGATATAATCGTAACCATATCAAAAATACAAATTGAAAACTAAATGTTTGTCCTTGTGCTTATATTTGATTGACGGAAATGGAAAACCTGTAAATTGATTAAAACAATAGTTTACCTTATCGTATCTAACCCCTATAAAATCCAGGGGTAGAATCCGATAATTTATGTTTTCCTCTTCCGTCACTCTCTGTCACTCATTTGTACTTCAACGTAATAAAAACATTTTTTTTTTTAATATACAATCGTTATCGCTATCATTAGCATTATATACACAACGCTATGCGTTAACCTAGTTCTGTAAAAACCAATGCACAAAATCTATTGCAAATGATTCCTACCACTGCCTCTACCGTTACGTAATTTTTAACAAAATTCATTAGTCAATCATTCGGGTACCAAAAAAGTTGGTCTGTTTTTTTGATAACGATAATCATCGTTTTTTTTTTAAAGATTACTTAGTGCTTTCATTCAGCGGTGTTTATAATATTCGGAATCAGAGATTTAGTATAATCGTCCTAATAATTGTCGTAATAGTAAGTTACGGTAAGTTATGACAATCACTGGGATATATACTATAAAGACCCCTTAAAGTAGTTGCACAAATTTAACAATATAACTAAAAAAGACTGATATATTCAAATGACAAACATGAAAAATTCGGATTAGTGTCAGACAGGATACAGTAGGTTGGTATGATCCAATCTTGGCAAACAAGATATAGTCTCTTGGCAAGCAGTGATCTAAACCCTTAAAACTATAATCTTAATCGAGACAAATCTTTACTAAATAAATCGCAATAATTATTATTACGATCATAACTTTATTCAAAATATTAAATTCACATGATATAATGACTTTTATTGATGGGTGAAATTACTTTTTTTAATAAAAAAGTTTTTGTTGAAATTGTTGAAATTATTTGATGGTGAAATTGGTAAAATTTAGTTTTTCACTATTAAAAATCAATTTAATTATGTCAAAAATTAATTAAAAAAAACTATGCTATATCAAATACAATAATACAATAGTTGTCTTAGAAATATTAAAAATGTTGAAATTATTATTGAATTTATTGTTAAGATTTTGAAAAAATTTGAAAATGAATTTCACCTCCAACTTATACCCCAATGTCACATTCGTCGATAACTATTTGAACCAGGTGACAATTAATAATTTATTAAGCATTTACAGCTTTACGATTTACACTTGTGGTTAATTGTCACATTGTTTGGGCTATATCGCCAATGGTTAAATAACATTAAAACTTTGGCCCTTCACGTTAAAATGGTGCAAATACACATAATACAACCTTTTAATGACAAGCATATATATTGCACTTCCTTTTTTGAACCTATACCCGAAACGGAAATTAGTACCACACACACTTGCTGTTGTTAAACGGACAATCGCAATCGAAAACTTATAACGGTAATTAAAGATTCTATTGAAATACCCTTGTTTGAAAATCGTTAAATGTTTCAGAAAATGCATTCTTTATATTTTTGTGTCAAATAATAATTTAACTTATGTAAAACATAATTTAGATTAATATAAATAATCTGGAATTTTTCACCAATACAATGCATTTCTTTTAATGAAAGAGTTTTGGTCGGTTTAATTTGATTTATGTATTTTTAATTTTAAATTTGTCTTATTGAATTTTAACAAATTTAGCATTGCCTGTATCAATTATTCAGTTTTTCTTTTTTTAAAAAAGTTATTTAGTATGTAAAATTACGTATTATATTTCTACCATTATCTAAACTGCCGTTAATTTTTATTTAATTACTATTTCGTAAAACAATTTATACTTTTGTGCATATTTTGATACTTAGGCACTGTGCATGCTTATGATACTTAGGACTGTGCATGCTTCCCCGTTCACTACACATGCACGCACGTATGTACATCATATGTACTTTAATTTAAATTAAACATTATCTAAAACTAACGTTAATGGAAACAAATTAATTTTTGAGTAAATTATCTTAATTTATTATTGTTACAACCCTTTAAAGGTTACAAATAATATTCTATACGGGTGCGTAGTAATTCATTTAAAGAAGGTTAGACAATATCAATATTAATAATCGCACAATATTAAATTTTTTATTTCTTATAATAACTGTACTATGTAATTCTTGATCACAAAGACAAGGAATACCCTTCTGAAAAGAATTCACGATGTGTTAAACCACCAATTTTTTATTCAAACATGCACTCATTAATTTATGACAGGTTTCACGAAATTTATTAAATTAAAAAAAAAATTTATATCGTTGTATAATAAAAATTTTCGATTATTTTCTGTTATATAAATGAGCCATTTGTCCTGATGATGAAGAGAGTCACCTATCGCGAAAGTCGTCTACTTGTCATCGGCAGATCGCAATTCATTCCTTAACGGATTTCCATCAACTCCCTGGAGACCCATTACTTAACCAAACGCTTTGATAGCTTGGTAATCATTACGTTTAAAGTATTGTAAAGACTACCGCCATACCCAACAACAAGATGCATATCATCAAAACCCTCTCTTCATTCTTGGTCGCTTTGATGCTTGTTAGTATCGTCCCAGTTCAATCTATAAACATTAATAAAATGCTTGACCTATGCAATGCTGAACGCAAGAAGGTTGGTGCACCTGCTCTTACCCATAACGAGTAAGTCTTAAAATTTATTTAATTATAATCGTATCGACCCGAAATTTTTTATCTAAAAAATACTTATCCGACTAAATTTAAAATGGTTACCATATGATATATTAAACTTTATTATTTTTATATCTCCTCAAATTATGAACTTAATATAGTGCTCTTTGTAAAGTGGCTACAGATCACAGTAATTACATGGCAAAGAATAATATTCTTACTCATGATGATCCTGCTGGAAGCTTGGGTCAAAGATTTGAACAGCATGGTTACTCTTATACATGTGCGGGTGAAAATGTAGCAGAAGGCTACTCGGATGAAGTATCTGTTATGCAAGGGTATGTATTATATAATTCTTCAATTTTTTTAATCCTTGTACTTCAAAAATTTTATTAATTATTCTTTATCATAATTATCGATTTTGTCGAATAGTTGGATGAATTCACCAGGTCACAGAGATAACATTCTCAATCCATCCTTCTTGGATGCTGGTTTTGGTCAATCCGGAAAGTATTGGACACAAGATTTTGGTGCTGGTGGTAGTGGAAGTAGCAAAGGAAAAGGCAACAACAAGCCTGCCCCACCTGCCTCAAAACCAAAACCTACTCTTAAATCCGCTCCTAAAATTATCGCTAAACCACCAGTTAAACCACCAGTTAAAGTTATTCATGTTCATGATGCTCCCAAACCTGTTCCTGTTGTTAAACCCAAGACTTGTACTAAGAAGAAGAATTAAAGCATCTGCATCTTTCTACTCTTCCTTCTCTTTCTTCCCCTCCAATCACAATACTTAATACAAAGATGCTTTTTTCCCAACACGTATATCTCCTCCTAATTTTTATTTATTAATTGCACTGGCTTTTTAATGTTTTACACCCTTAAAATCTTAATTTATTTAAGGTTAGATTTAAATATTTTAATGTATTGAAAATTTTTAGATGTTTTTTTAGAGAATTTTCAATAATCTAATAATGTATGCCGTGACATATTAAGTTCTTATTAAAGTTATTGATCCCAAAAAAATAAAAAAAAAATACATATATATAATAATGCTTTTTAATTAATTAATATAAATTTCTCTCTCTATGCATTTTCTCTTTATCTATGTATAGGTTAAAAGGCATGCAATATAGAGCTATTATATAATTGGTCAATTATCTAATTGCCCAATTAGAATTAACGTTAAAACCTACTAATTATGATATATATATCTATAGGGCCCTCAACTCTATCTATATAATATTTGCTTTATTTTCATTCCAACAATATAACCATTTATTTTTGCAAAACAAATAAATTATCTTGAATTTCTTTTTTTTTCTCGTAGTTTCATTATTCACGTGATATAGTGTACCGAAGATTCCAAAATCTTAACAAGAATAAATCTAGCATTAACCATATTTTCGGTCAATATTTTTTTGTTTATCGACGTAATCCAGGAGTTTCAATATATAATAGTGGGTTTTGCTAACAACGATTAGAATCATTAAAACGAATAAACTCTGATTTAGATTAGGCCGTTTGAAATGAAAACTTTGTTTAACGTTATTTTTTTCGGGAATACATAAAAATTATATGCATAACGGTCCGTTAAAGCCAGGAATGATTTACATACTGCATAAATTGTATTATTGATATCTATTATAAGTGTTACCCTATACAAACTAATAAACTATCGTTAATCCCATCCCTAACATAATCGTTCGTTCATAAACCACTGCAACCGCCTTTGGACGTTCGCCGCAAGTCACGTGACCAAGCCGTTAACGCAAGAGAAGGATCCAACTCCGATTCGACGTATCGTAAGCCCGGGTTAAGTCATACAAGAGCAGAGAATAGAAGGCAAGGGTTAATAGAAGAACAGGTTGAAGGAAAGACTTAGAAGAGAAGAATAGTACTTACCTACGGATAAACCACCCAGCCAAATCTAACACGCCTATTTCGACTTAGCCGCCGTAGGTTACGCGAGAATTGGATTAGAGTAGCAACTGAATCGCCGATTCCGGAATCACACTATATAATCAACTAACCCTAACTGCATCAAAAAAGTAACCCTAACTGGTACTTGGCTTTAACGTTCCCCCAATTAAACATAAGGTACCGAACAATCCCGGACGTAAGCCGAAAAATTCCGACGGCCAGCTTATTATGTAGTCACATCTATTGTTTAATAATTGTTTGATTTTTAGGGAGAGTTTAGGAGACGGAGGGGATAATGTTAAACGAAGAACCAATTTCAAACAGTCTTATATAGATACGCATTACCTAAATATTTATTATTTAATATCGCGGCTGATACTATATTGAAATTAAATTATTCAAGAAATCATATTGAACATAAAACTGATGTACATACAAATCATATCAAAAGTTTTTGGCAAGGAGTTAAATTAAATATAGCATCAAGAAATTGAAATAAAAATATTATTAAAAACTATTTGTTAGAATTTGCTTGGCTAAGAAAACAGAAAAATAATTTATGGCTTGTATTTTTAAAAGCTTTTAAATTATATAAACATTAAATATTAACTTTAACAAACTGAGGCAGTAAAAAAAAAAAGTTAAATGTATTGTGATGTACTTTTTTTAGTTTTTTTTTTTGATATTAAACTAGCCTCTTTTGGGCCTAGAGTTTTATTCAATAAATTGAACATAGAGACTCATGGCCGAAGCCTCAAAGAAGTTACCTTATATTGGAGAATACAACTAGCCACACATACACTTTTGGTGTCTAATTTAAGTAGTCTGCCAATGGTTCTACACTAGCTGCCATACCTGCAACCCAACTAGGGGCATTGCCTATTTAAACTCTCTGTGCTGCAATCCTTATTGTGTTACTAGATCATCTCTGATACAGTCATCAATCAAGAAGGTCTAGATACTTTTACCCATTTCTCTTAAGACTCCATACCTTATTTCATGCAGTGTATCTTCAGAAGCATTGTTACTAGAGCCTTCTGTGTCCCAACACAGCTGACCTAGTTTTATATAACATGCTATAGTTACCTAACACTTGCAGTTACAGGGGTTACCTGTTTAACCACTACATACACTATTTTTACCTTTGTAAAGTTTACCCAAACCCCAGTACCTATCATTCTGACTTCTTCTCTTTATCCTCTTACTATCCAACTCAGAATCTGACAAACTTCCCAGACTTTCAATTCAGATAGCCTGGTATGGTATACTTTAGTATCCTTTTCCTCTAGTGATTCTGGCAGCCTGGTTGGGCATGTGCTCCTCTACACATCTTTCTATCCAGTTGCATGTTCATCTATTCCTTATTGGGGTTTCCTGGGCTTCCATTAGTCTGATAGCACCATCGAAGGCTTGTGCTACTCTTTACTTGAGAATTTCCAAGTGAGCTTCCATCTCCTCAGTTTCTTGGTCTTCTACATTTGGTGGCCTTATCATGAATTTGCACCAAAGTCTTATGTAACACCAGTTATTTACATTTCTTTATGTACATGTAATGTTACACTTCATATAGATGCCTTAAGCTCCTAATGATAAGTAGAACCTGATTGGTTGTACTTAAGATTACAGATATCTAAATTCAACTGATCAACAAGAGACAGTTTACCATAACGATATAATTACTAAATTTTGTCATAAGTAGGATTTGAATCTTAGACCTGCCACTTGGAGGATGACAACCCAACCACTACACTAGGATCGCCATCCTCGTACTTTTTTTTAGTATTACTGACTCAATTTGTTAAATAACAATAATAAATATATTATAATAAAAATAAGTAAAATAAAATAATAAAAATTAAAAGAATAAATCTAAAATAATAGTGCTAGCAAGTAAAAAATTCAATTAATTAAATTAAAAGTTTAATAATTAAAAATATATTTATCAGTCAATAAGTACTGTCAATATCAAAAATCAAAATCAAAAATTAAAATTAACATTATTTCAAAAATCAAAAATTTAAAGATAGAAGATAAAAGTATAAACTTCTTCAATTCCAAAAAACAAAATACAAAATAATTTATTTTAATTTGAGTTAGTAGAGGTATATCTAAAATAATAAATCCAAAATTTCAAAATACTTTTTCACAATTGCTGCTTTTAAAATAAAATTCTTCTTAAAGAGAGAATTGCTTCCTGGAATAGTTTTTTTAAAAAAGGGTTCTGTTTCTTTCTGAGATACTTTTAGCTTTTTGAAGTAATTTTTAGCTTTTCTGAAATAATTTTTAGCTTTCTGCTAAAAGGCACCAAAATGTTATAGAGTTGTAGCCTTTTTGGTACAATACAACCAAGTAACAAAATCATCTGGTATAGTAATTAACTATTACAAATATATACAAATTAGAGGTGTAGTAGTTTACTTTACTATACAGCAACAGGCAAATGGTTCAAGATAGTAACAGTATATAAATTAACTTTATTAAATAAATACACAGTAACAACCCTGCCTATAGAAATTATTCTAGAAAGAGAATGTCACTTTTACAAGTTAGAAATAAAGGTAAAAAGGCCTAGATTGAATTATAAAAACTTAAAATTAGTAAAAAAAAAAAGAAAGGTATCCTTTATATATCTTTTTATTTAGTGAAAATAGTAGAAATTTGAGCAACATTACTTGATATTGTACTTAGAGTAATAAGAGTTCAAACAACATTAAATATCATTATACTTGAGATAGTAAAAGTTTGAATAGCATTAATTGATACTATGCTTGAAATAGTAGAGATTATGCAAAGACAACTGGTAATATTGTTTATATGATTTGTTATTTGTGTTTAAAACACTTAGGACTTATGTTTAGACACATAGACTGTGTAAAAACACTTGGAATTTGTGCAAAAAATACTTGAAGTTTGTGCAGAAACACTTGGGATTCATGTTAGAAATACTTGGAATTCTTGTGCTATAGCACTTGGCATAGTAATTTGAAGCTAGAATACATGAAACTTGTACAGAGGTACTTGATGTTTGTAAGACAATAGTAACATTATAGATGTTACTTAGTATCATGTGACTGTATCACATTTTTAATAGCCAATTAAGATCCTTTTATTTATTTACTATATAATATAACTATCAACTAACTAATAACTAATAACTAATAATAAATATAATATATAAAATACAATAATGAATATATATATAACTATTAATACTACTATATAATATATTATGCTAAAATCTACTTTGTAACAAAATAAAAAATTTAATCTAAAAGAAAAATTATAGAATATAGAAAAAAAATATAGAGAAATAACAATATAATCAAATAAAAGAATATTATTAAAAAGATATATATAAGTTTTATAGTAAAATAAATTAACAAAAAATATATTATATAGCATTAATTTAAGTATTCAGAGTATTTTATAAATATACAGTTATAATAAGTATTTTACACAAAAAGATATTTTGGTTTGTACATTATAATCTGTATCATTTAATTAAAAATATATATAACAAATATAATTAATAATAGTAAAAGTAAATACTAATATTTGTCTTTTTTTTAAATTTATCTAATTATAATTAATGAATGCTTTTGTTTTGTTATTCTATTATTAGTAATAGTATACAAATCATCAAGTTTTTTATTTCATTATTGATAATAGTATATAAAGTAATTTTTTGTTTTATTATTAATAACAATATGCAAAATGACAAATAAAAAATACTTTAAATTATTATGATTTTTTATTTTGTTATTAATAACAATGTACAATGTACAATTTAGTCTAAAGACCAATTAATATTCTTTA